CGAGGGCGGGGGCCGGGGCCGGCGGAGCGTCCGCGATCACGGGCGCCGGCGGCAGCAGCGAGCCTCCATCTTGCTTTCCAATGGGGAAGGAAGGAGGGGGGAGGGAGAAATCACGGCCGAGGGAGCCCCGGTGAAAGGAAAAGGGAGAGCAGGGAAAGGAGAGGAAGGAAAAAGAGGGGCTTCGGCAATTTCCGGAGAGCTTCGTTAGGGGCCGGAGCGTGGGCTCGGCGGGTGGGCGGGGCCTGCTGTGGGCGGGGCCGTGGAGGGGCGGGGCCGCGCCTGGGAGCCCGGAGGGCGGAATGGAGTGGCTGGCTGCTGGAACGTGGAGAGGGCTTGGTCTCCTCCTCCTCCTCCTCCTCCTTCAGGGCAGTTCCAAGGCTGGGAGGAGCAGGAACAAGTGTGACCGACCCACACTGGCCTTGCAGGCCGGCCACTGCGCCCCCTGCCAGGACTCTCACGCCTACACTGCAAGCGGTCCTAGCACTGGAGCGGTTTCATGATTATTTATGTCACCCGCGGGGCCGGGTGACCAGGGCACCGAGCTGGTGTGTCCCTCGCAGGCGCAGCGCTGACACGGGCATGTAGAAAAAGCTCGGTAATTTTTGAATGAGCAGAGAGGCAATGAAAACAGATCATCTGCTCTCGTCTACCGTCTCCGTGTATACAAAAAAAAAAAAAAAAAAAAAAGAATGAAAGATGAGGCTTGCGGGGGAATCCCCATCTCCCAAGTGTCCTGCGTCCTCAAGCTACCCAGAATTATGGGAAAGATGATGAAGGCAGAGGAGACCAGAGGAGGAAAGGGGCCTTTAAAAAGATGCATGTCAAGTCAGCTGTGTGGAATAGTCAAATTCTGCTTTACGTCAGGCTGCAAGATGAGTGCCATGAAGGAATGGGTGCCAGATACTTAAAGAACAAATACTGGAGAAAACAGATCAACAAATTTCATCAAACTACACCACTACCTATGTTTAACGGGAGAGCGATGATTAAATGAATAACTAGTGGATAGTGGCCACCAGGTCTTTCTCCCTTGGGAGTTTTGGACAAGCAAGGGGAGTAGGCTCGAGTACTTAGTTTCCTTCAGAATAAGGGTTGAAGACATACTTAGGAACTCCTGTTCAGCTTACTGTAGATGTGTGTAAAGACCTACAGATGTGTGTATACATTCAAGATAGTACATATGCCTTTATCCTCTTGCCTGTCAATTGACTGGGCCTGGAGACATTTTCATAACTACCCACACACCTAGCATTTAGATCATTTAAATCGATTCTCTGTCTCTGTCTCTGTCTCTGTCTGTCTCTGTCTCTCCCTCCCTCCTTCCCTCTGCCTCTCTCTCTCTCTCTCTGTCTCTCTCTCTCTCTCTCTCTCTCTCTCTCTCTCTCTCTCTCTCTCTCTCTCTCTCTCTCTCTCTCTCTCTCTCTCTCTCTCTCTCTCTCTCTCGTGTGTGTGTTCATGTGAATGCAAGAGGTCCATACCGAGTGTATAACCCAGTCACTCCTCACCTTATTTTTTAGAGACAGAGTCTGTCACTGAATCTGGAACTCCTTGATTAGTTAGACTGTTGACTAGCAATACCCAAGGATCTTCTCATCTCTGCCTCCCCAGTGCTGAGATTATAGACCCAAACTACCACATCCAGCTTTTTACTGGGGATATTGAAGGTCTGAATTCAGGTCCCTAGGCTTCAAAGAAAGCACTTTACTATAGATGGAACCATTTCCACAGCCCAAAGACCTTGTTTTAATGCTTTTCTCCAATAAAAAAATAAAAATAAAAATAAAACAACAACAACCTAGGGCCCATGGGGAAATTGGCTGATTCTGGTGGTGGGACAGGATATATGTAACATGATCCTGAAGAATCCTGTTGTGCCAGAAGGTAAGGAAGTGGCTTCCCAAGAAAAAAAGCAAGGGTAAAGATTGTCCAAGAAAACAACTGAAAGAGCTCCTAGTGGCCAGAACTAGAACAATTTGAGGTAGAAAACATAGCACTAGTTGATTATAAGCACAAAATGAATATGTCTGAGTCCATACTGATGTAAATAAATAAGCAAATGGGGTATCAGAAACAAATTCCCAATGTAGAAAAAGTACAAGGAATTTGTGTGGAGACTGTCCTGAATGAGATGGAGCAGAACTCCCCTCTCCTGAAGTACAAGCTGCATACAGTACTTTCCTTCCAAAGACAACAAAACTAGTGAGCCTCTTCCAACAGAGAAACCACAACCTTGCCCTACCCCGGTGACCAAGATGAACATAAGACGCAGTTAAGAGGCCCTGGCCGTGTATACCAGATGTAATAAGGCCACTATGGTCTTCCCATCTGAAGCACCTACCTGGACACAAACATAACAACATCATATGAACGAGGCACTTCCTATAAACTACCTCACCAGCACTCTCTTAAACTTTCAAAGTCACCAAAAATCAGAGAAGGTTAACCAACAGTCACAGCTGTGAGAATCCTAAGGCCACATTAGAACTCAATGCAATGTTGCTGTTTGCTAGTGTTGCTGCTTGTTAGAACTCAATGCAATGTAGCTGTTTGCTAGTGTTGCTG